TTGGTTCATTCTGACATTTGGGGTTCATCCCCTGTTTCTAGTCTACATGGACACCGTTATTTTCTTATCTTTGTTGATGACTCCACTCGTTTCACATGGTTATATTTGCTTAAACACAAATCTGAAACTTTTACCGTGTTCAAAGCTTTCCATGAAATGATACAGACACAATTCTCAAAGAAGATTAAGGTTCTCCGATCTGATAATGGCACCGAATTTGTGAACAAGGAGGTTCAAAAATTCTGCACTACCTTTGGAATCAACCATGAGACTTCATGTCCTTACACCCCGCAACAAAACGGAGTAACCGAACGGAAAAATAGACATCTCCTTGAGACAGCTCGATCTCTTCTTATTGGTGCAAATGTCACATCATGTCACTGGACAGATGCCGTAACAACAGCAGCATATCTAATAAACCGGATGCCGTCGCGGGTACTATCTTTCAATTCTCCATTATCAAAACTATGTGAATTTCATTCCTTACCATCTGTTTTAATGCTTCCGCCTAAGGTCTTTGGTTGTGTGGTGTATGTACACCTTCACAAGCATCAAAGAACCAAATTAGATCCCTGTGTTATTCGGTGTTTGTTTCTAGGTTACGGTTTTACACAAAAAGGCTATCGGTGCTTTGATCCCTCAACGCGACGCACTTATGCTATGATGGATACTACTTTTCTTGAATCTGAGATGTTCTACGCATCGTCGACTCCACGACAGGGGGAGAAATCGAGTGAAGAGACAATGAGCTGGCTACATTTTGGATGTGATACCTATAGTGACGAAATGATCCAAAATACCGTGACGGAGAACCCAACTCCAGCTGCAGAAGACCAGAATCATAACGAAATGATTCCAACCGATACTCAAGAGAGCTTACCTATTCGTGAATCATTAGACCAAGTTATTATCTCTGGTGATGACCATTCTAATGAAATGTTATTGGCTGCAGACCAAAATCAAGAAACAAGGGACATCGTTGACAATGAAGACGTGCATTCAAATGAATGTGTTGGTGGCACACAAACTGAGGTAAGTGGACAACTAAGTAATATAAATATTTCTAATGAAAAATATGTTTTACCATACAGGAGCACTAGAGGAAAACCACCTTCCAAGTATTCACCAGATGTCACAAGCAAAAAAGCCAAGTATCCAATCGCAAATTACGCATCAATATCTCCAGAAGCCGAGAATATCAAAAGATTTGAAGAGGTCTTGTCATCTACTTACATACCAGAAAGTATAAATGAAGCACTAGAAAGTGAAGAATGGACACAAGCAGTTGAAGAAGAGATGAAGTCGTGCGTGAAAAGTGATACATGGGATGTATGTATCTTACCAGAAGGAAAGAAAACGGTTGGGTGCAGATGGATCTTCACAATTAAATACAAAGCCGATGGGACGATCGAGAGGTACAAAGCACGCTTAGTGGCGAAAGGATATACACAGTCTTATGGGATTGATTACGACGAAACATTTTCTCCGGTAGCAAAGCTCACTACGGTCAGAGTCTTAATCTCCATGGCAGCTAATCTAGACTGGCCTCTACACCAATAGGACGTTAAAAATGCCTTTCTTCACGGCGAACTCGACGAAGAAGTGTACATGGATATACCTCCAGGCTACTCAACAGGATCTGAGAAGAAAATGGTGTGCAGATTAAAGAAAGCATTGTACGGACTCAAGCAGTCTCCACGTACATGGTTTGGAAAATTCTCTTCATCCATGAAGAAATACGGATACACGCAAAGCAACGCAGACCACACCTTGTTTTTGAAGCTCCAAGAAAACAAGGTAACAATTTTGATCATCTATGTTGACGATATGATAATAACAGGAGATGACTTGGAAGAAATTAAAAGACTACAGCAAGCTCTTAATGAAGATTTTGAGATGAAGAGCTTGGGAGGCTTGAAGTACTTCTTAGGCATCGAAGTTGCACGATCAAAGCAGGGAATCTTTATGTCTCAACGGAAGTATACTCTTGATCTTCTCAAGGAAGTGGGTCTTCTAGATTGTAAGCCAGCTGAAACACCGATAGTTCAGAATCACAGACTTGGCATTTATAAGGACCAGAAGCCAACTAATAAAAGAAGATATCAGAGGCTCGTGGGGAAACTTATTTATTTGTCTAACACAAGACCCGATATCGCTTATGCTGTGAGTGTAGTGAGTCAATTCATGCACAATCCAAGTGAAGACCACATGAATGCAGCTTACCGAATATTACGATACTTGAAGGGATCTCCGGGTAAAGGAATCATGTTCACAAAGAATCAGCACTTGAAAATTCATGGTTATACAGATGCAAATTGGGCAGCGGACTACAATGATAGGAAATCAACAGCAGGATATCTAACATTTGTTGGTGGGAATCTTGTGAGCTGGAAGAGTAAGAAGCAAAAAGTAGTTTCATTATCTAGCACTGAAGCTGAGTTTAGAGGGATGAATAAAGGTCTGAGGGAACTTTTGTGGCTGAGAAGACTTCTCACTGAGATCGGTTTTAACCATGAAGAGAAAATGAAGCTGTTTTGTGATAATGAGGCTGCCATCAGCATTGCTCACAATCCGGTTCAACATGATAGAACCAAACACGTAGAAGTTGACAGGAATTTCATAAGAGAGAAGTTGGACTCTGGTATCATATGTTTTCCATTTGTCAGGTCCAATGAACAACTTGCTGATATATTAACAAAAGGAGTTGATAGCAGGTTGTTCCATGAAGTTGTTTGCAAGTTGGGTATGAAGGATCCCTACATACCAACTTGAGGGGGAGTGTAAGCAAGAAGAAGAAGACCGTTGGCTCAATATTACATATTACGATTCTTTCCTTAGTTACATATTCTCGTATATTTGTGTATATTGCTTTCCATTATTTAGCCTTTTCGGCTCCTACATATATGAGTTGTAGACATTGTATTACGTACACACATAAAGAATAAAACATCTTCTTTTCTACATGTTTCACAACATCACCTTACGATACTGCTGTATCGAGAGCTGCACGTTATGTGAAGCAAGCCGGTGGTCTGGGCGTAATCATCGCAGGACAACCAGGCAGCATTCTACGACCATGTCTAGATGATTTCCCTTGTGATTCTGTCGATTACGAGCTCGGAACTGATATACTCCTCTACATACGTTCTAGTGGGTATGAAAATTTAGATCTTCACCACTTAAAATAGTAAGAAATTAAGCAAGATTTGATTTCTTTAGCTAGATTTGTGGTTTGTAGATTGCCTATTGTGAAGATACAATCTTCTAGAACACTCATCGGACAACCAGTTGGTACAAAGGTGGCAACTTTCTCATCAAGAGGGCCATTCCGATTTCAGCTGCGATACTCAAAGTATATGAGAATACTTACTTACATGTTCTTTTTTAATTTCAGACCTAGCTATTATATATACTAGATTAATATCCCGTGCATTGCACAGTATTTCATCTTTAAACAGTTAGTATTTCAAATCGTTGAACAACTAATTCATCATATTTTTTTTTCTTATATTTCTTGATTTTATTAGACTCTTTCTTATCTTTATATTTTCATAATTTGTTATCTTCATCTTCCGATTTTCTTTCTCATCTTAAACGTTTTTGTCTTTGTATTTTCCAAAATTCTTATTCATCAGATTCATGTTCTTCTTCTTTTATTCTTTATCTTTTTAATTTTTTTTATCTTTCTCTTCATCATCTTCGTCTTCTACCTCTCATTCTTCATTATTTTTTGGGTTTTTTTTTTCAGTTTTTTCTGATTTTGTTGTCTCTTATTTTTATTTATATTATATGGTGTATGCACGTCTTCATTTGTGTCATCTTATTTATGTTTTGATTTTTCTCCTATTTTTTCTATAATTTTTTTCATCATTTTTGGATTTTTTTTATCGTTGTTGTTTTCTCTAATTTTTTTTTTTAGTTTTTACTATTACTCTTTTTGAAAGATAATTTATAAATAGTATGTGAATTAATTAAATTATTAATTTTAGTTTTAGTATTAATGTTTTCTTTTTTTTCAATAAAAAATAGTTATTCAAAGTATTATAATTAATTGAGTCATTAAATTTACTTTTAATTCTTTTTGCTGATGTGGATATCATAGATGGAGAGTAAATTCTCTCTCTAATTATATAATAGATTCTTGCTTCAGAAGTTATCAATTATATAATGCAGCCGGATATAGCAGCACCAGGACTTAGCATATTGGTTGCTACAACCACCAATACCACATTAAACGACCGTGGATTCATTTTCTTGTCGGGAACATGAATGGCGACTCCACCATTTCAGGAGTTATTGCACTTTTCAAAACTTTGCACCCTGATTGGTCTCCTGCTACCTTTAGATCAGCTATTGTCACTACAGGTTCTTATCTTCTTCACACACACACAAAAAAAAAAGAAGAAGCTCCACGAGAACATAATGATCTTGATAAGTTTATTTGATTACTCTGCAGCTTGGAGAACATATCCATTTGGAGAGCAGATTTTTGCAGAAGGGTCACTTCGGAAGCTAGCTGATCCGTTTGACTATGAACACACACAAAATCAATACAGGCTACTTTTTTGGAAGCTTGACTTGGAGTGACTCTGTGCATAATGTCACTATTCCTTTATCCGTGAGAACGCTAATTCTGCCCTTCTACTACGATGAGAATTGAAAACAAAAAAAAAACTAACCATTCGTGCACCTTTTTTGTTTAACTCGTCGTGAGATTGTACTTATACTCTAATATTTGTATGTATTGAACTATTTCACCAAGTATCATAAGAGATTGGGACATAGAAACCTCTCGAGTCTCGACCTTGTCCTTTGAATGGTTCATGCACAAAGAAATTCATTCCCAAACATTTTATGGAATTTTAACAAAGCACTCAAATTCAAATGTTATAATTGAAAAGTAACAAATTTCAGTTCAACCACGAAAATGAGTTCTAGCTAGGATAGCAAAAAAAAACACCACTAATCTAAGAAAGGAGTTGGGTGAAAACTTGTTTGCATCAAACCATAACAGCTAAGCATTTCACAATGCGAGAACAACAACGCTTCTCCTCCATCACAATACCACACCACTTTACTTTGCCCCAAATCTTTCCTTCTTGGCATCTTTCCAAAGCAATCTCCGCACACCAAATATCCACCGTTACCTTCTGGGCATCATGATATTTCTCAAAGATCATAGCCAATTTCCCACCGTAACTCACCATCTTCGGCCACCAGCCCCACCAATGATCAGTCATCTTATTCTTCAATTCTTCCACACCTTTCACAACTCTCCAACATCTCTGCTTTGGATCATACGCTCTTAACTTTTTCTTGCTATCATCGTAATAGTACAATACATCATCAACGACACACGCATTCTTCCATTTCTTAGAATTCAGCACCTCCTCCAATTCCAGTGTACTTTCTTTTGGCTCATAAACAAAGCTATTCTCTCCATTTCTCTTATAAATCTTACCCTTCATCACCACAGAATCAGTCCACAAATAGTCTAGCTCCAAGTCAGGCTTTTTTATCTCAGGCGTCCACATTTGAGTTTCTGTATCCAAGACCATGACTCCCTCCGAACAGATAATGTATACACAAACGATATTCACATGTTTTTGAGCTAAAGAAGACAGCATATAGACATTGTTCGTTACAGCCTAAGGAGGATCGTCTCTCGTATAGCTCAGGCGACGCAACTAGTGATTGGAAACTCTTGGAAACGAGAGAGATAATCGGATGATAGCATCTCGGCACACGTGCCACAATGTCCACTATGAGGTCATATGGAAGTGACATAATCGAAACAGTGGTTGCGAAATCTAATAGGGTTTTCGGCCTCAAATGAGGAATCACGGAGCTTAGAGAGGAAACCAAAAATCTTTCCGTAATTCCTGATTTATAGCTCCGGTTGAATCCAATCTTGATCTTCTCCAACTTTGGTTTTTAAGTTGTGTGACCTAGCTCTCTCTCTATCGACTAGGTTTTTCAATAACAGCTAATCTCTCCCGTTTTTTTTTGAGAAAAGGAAATATGAATACAGTAATTGGGAAGTTTAACTAACTTTATTATAAGAAAGGCTAAACCAACATTCTAAGCCCAAGGAAAAATAAAACAACGATTGATATATATATATATATATATATTTTGCTCTGTTATAAACCATTTATAAACAAGTTCTATTATTAATAAATTTTAATGATTAATTAACCAAAGAAAGAGGTCTCTGAATCTGACACCATGTCCACCTAAAATCTACAAATATAGCATACATCTTTAGAAGAAAACAATAGATCTATCGCCGAGCTTCCTAACGTAAGCTTGGTGCCGAGCCATTGGAAATCAGGAGAGAAAAAAAAGCTCATAGGAGCCAAGTATTTCATCAATGGGTTTCTTGCAGAGCACGAAAGCTTCAGCTCCACAGAATCACTAGGCTTCATTTCCCCGTGAGCCGTTAATGGTCATGGAACACCTGTAGCAACCATAGCGGGCGGTTAGTACGTGCCCAATACATGCTACAAGGGGCTAGCAGAAGGGACTGAGAGAGACTATTTAAGCATTCGTTCAACTCTTTATAAAACCCCTTTTATTCTCTCTCTATGTTTAATTATGAGCTTGTACATTATTTCACTTATGCTCATAAACAAAAGTTCTTGTTTAAAGCAGTGAAACAGACTTTGAAACACTTTAATAATTGCTAAAAGTCTGTGGCATGCTAGTTAAGCGGATAATGGAATGAATAAGGAATGGTTTCTTTCCCAAGTGAACTGATATATGAGTAGGCATGGTCATGGGATGGTCATACGATTCGGTTCATATTTTTATTTTTTTATAAAAAATTAATGGTTCAATCGTAATCCGGCCATGTAGTGGTATGAAAGCTCTGCTGGATCACCCTTTAAGAGTCAACAATGTGGCGTCGATCTAACCCTGCGTCACGCATTGCCCTCCAAACTAAGAGCCAAAGTGGGGTTTTCTTAATTAGCTTTTGCCAACCACAAACTCCGAGGAGCAAATTAGTTGTTAGCCTTTTATCACCACTTGTCTCAAGTATCTATAGCTTGGAACAGACAGGTTAGACCATATTAACCAATTCATGCAAACATCATGAACAAGGACCCAATTTAAAAATCTGAAATTTAAAAATCTGAAATTTTTAGAAGTGCAATGGAGAGAACTTTTGGTCGAAGAAGGAGAAAGGAGAAGCAGAAGAAAGCAGAGAGAAATAAAAAAAAATTCTTTTCAGTTAATCTCTCCAATCAAACACTGACACTTGGCACATAAAAAACATAAAAGACGTATCTTACATTTTCTATTTAAGAAACGTCTTTAGCATTTAGTAATTTTTTTATTTTTTTATTTTTAAAAAAGTACCTAAAAAACCTGCTTAAAGACGCTGTTGATGCTCTTAAAAGCCAAAAACAAAAAGCCTAAAATCTATGGTACGAGTTGACAAAAAAAAAAAACGTTTAGTTTCAGAAAGTTTGTTTTATTTTTACAAGCATATTTGCTTGACATTCATAAGAAACAAACTGATTTTGTAGAGTGTGAAAGGGGGTGTAGTCGTGTGTATTCATCCTCTTCGTGAGTAAAGGGAGTCCAAGGTATCTAAATGATAATGTGCCTGAATCAAAAGGAAATTGATTGAGGATATCCTCTTGATGTGACACCGTAACCCCAGCCATATAAAATTGGACTTTTCCAAGCTTATGTTTAACCCCAAGTCTTCTGCGAACTTTTTGAATACCTTAAGAATGCCCTCATCAATTGATCTTCTTTTTCCATCCGCAAAACCTAACAAATCGTCCGCAAAACAGAGGTGAGTAAGCTTGATGTTTTGACAGTATGGGTGATATCTTATCCTCCATTCCAAGGCTGCCTTGTCAAGCATTTTTGAGAGGACATGCATACAGATCACAAAGAGATATGAAGATAAAGAACAGCCTTAACGGAGCCCACATTCACTTTGGAAAAAACTGGCTTGCTCTCATTCACCTGAACCGAAAAAGATGCTGTGGCTGTGGTGAGACAAAGTTTAACCCAGTGTATGAATCTCTCAGGCAGATTCAGAGCTGATACCATGGAAAGCAAGCATGTCCATTGGAGAGAGTTAAAAGCATTGTAGATGTCAATTTTTACTGCAAAGCGAGATGATATGGATTATGGAGGCTTTAATTTGTGGTAGTTCTTGACCAGTTCTCACGCGAGTAGAACATTCTCCATCAGCAGTCAGCCCTAGACAAGTGATGATTGATTTGGAGCTACAAACTTGGGGAATTGGTAGCCAAGATCTTAGAGATCAGCTTATACAACACATTGCAACAGGATATTGGACGATATTCCTTCATCTCTTTTACCTCTGTTTTCCTTGGAGTAATGAAAGATTAATGGTGGAATTAATCCTTTTTGGAAGGAACCGTTTCTTGAAGAACGACTTGATTGCTACAAACACATTATTTCCAACCACCGGCCATGATTCTTTGAAGAACTCGGTAAATTAACCATCAAGCTCTGGGTCTTTATTCCCTGGCATTGCAAATAAGACCTTTCTTATCTCCTCTGTATCTTCATTACACAAAATGTGACCATCATCCTAACTATGCTCGAATCCCAGAAATTCCTGAAGAGTATAATCCAAAATGAGGTATAATCAGACAGCTTATGGGGATAGAAAGTTGTTGAAAAACATTTCTGCTTCTCTCTTCATATCCTTTCGAGATGTCCCAAAAGTACTATCAGCTTATTTTACTACTCAGATCAAATTTTGAACCGTTCTTGCTTTCACTCCCTGGTGGAAAAACTATTAGTTGTTGGAAACTTGATAGGAATTTAAACCTTATAATTCCTTTAGCCCAAGATCTACTATGTGGATATACTTGCATAACACTTTAAGAAGTTAGAAAACTTACTTGAACTCTTCTTACAAGAAGATTATTGGTAGATTGTCTTCTAGCTCTATATATCCAAATTATTCTTACCAAGAGATGGGTGCTTGTGTAGAGAATAGAGAGAAGTATACTTTAAAAGAGGGAATAAATTTGTATCTTCTGTCAAAATCAAAATGACCAAAGCTTTTTTTTTTTAGATGGAGCTAAATGCATCTATTTATAAGAGAGCAAGAGCACAAACTTTCTCTAAGTTTTTCTTTATCTTGGAGCCAAAGTTTCTTTAGCTTAGAGCCAAATTTTTTTTAGCTTTGAGCCAAAGTTTCCTTAGCTTGCTCATCAAGTTTTACTTACACATCATGGTTATGGTCTCTAGCTCATGAATTATTAATGGTATATATATATATATTTAGTTTAATATATCTATCTTATATATTTCCTCACTTCATGATATATATTAAACTAAATATATATATATACCTTTAATAATTCATGAGCTAGGGACCATAACCATTCCGGAAACCGTCACTTAACTGATCCCATAAATATTGTCATTTAATTCATCAATCATAGAATATAAATGACATCTGAATTAGTCTCTATGCATATAACCTCTATGTTCATAATTTATAATCTAATACCCAAATCCAATCGTGAAACCAAAAACGATCATACCTTATTGGACTAAACCAAAATTATAGTTCTTAATCCATAAATTTCATATTTGGTTCACACATCTCCAACAATCTCCTACTTGTGGACCTACTTTACCGAGATTAACCTTATAAATAAACAATACAAAGTGATGAAACAAACTCTAAACCAAATAGTATTCTAAATTTATTGCATTAACCTTATATGCACATAACCAAAATAGAGCGTTACCAAAATAGATACAAAAATCCCACTAAATCGATATATCGTCTGAACCATATGAGCAACAGGCTCCCAAAAGATCTAGGTGGAACACCTTTAGTTAATGAATCCGTTATCATGGAGTTTGTACCTATAAAATTACATCACTTTGGATCCTTTCGTGCACAACATGATATTTGATGTCTATATACTTCAACTTTATTGTGCCTCTATTGTTGTTCGCATATAATCTGCCAAACTATTGTCACAAAATCTTAAGGGGTCTTTTGACACCCAAAACTATATGCAGCCCTGTGAAAAATTTTCACAGCCATATAGCCTGATTGGATGCTACATATTCTATTTCCTTAGTAGAAAAAGCCACACGTTTTTGCTTGGCACTTCGTCACAATATGGCTCCTTCAGAAAACAAGAATACGTAGCCCAAAGTGGATCGACGACTGTCAAGGCATCCAACATAATCAGAATCAGAATAACCAGTGATCTCGAGCTGTTTACCTCGTCTATAGACGAGCATAAGATTCCGAGTTTTCTGCAGATATTGCACCACCCGTTTGGCTGCTTTCCAATGTTCGATCCCTGGGTTACTTAAGTATCCCCCCAATATCCCTATAACAAATGCCAAGTCTGGACGTGTACACACTTATCCATACATCAAACTTCTAACTACTGAAGCATAAGGAATTTTCTGCATTTCCTCAATCTCTAACTTAGTCTTGGGGCACTTTTCTAAATTGAATTTATCATCTTTAGAAATTGGGGTGTTCATCGATTTACAATCCTTCATGCCAAACCGTTCTAAAACCTTA